CATGCGGACATCGAATTTGGGCACTCAACGATTTTGTCCATGCTGGCTCATACTAAACACGTCACAGCGATGCATCGTCAGATATTGCATGCGATGTAAACACGTACACAGCCACGTACCCCACAGATTAGCCTGAATCGAACGTGTTGCGATCTAGAGAGTACGAATAAAATAACGCTACGCTTTCAGCAAAATCACTCAGTGTTACGACCAGGTTCTTGTGTTTTTCAGATTGGGAAAAATGATACTAGGATATATTTTAGCAACAACGGTATAGTGATGATTGTGTGCATCCAAGAGCAAGTTTGACAACAAAGGATAGGAAATACAAGTGAAAGTTTTCCCAATGAGTACAGTTTTTGCCTAATGGTCGTAATCATCATCCTTGAATAGTACACGTATACACTAAGTCAACCGTCCTCACAGTGGTAGCGCACCATTCCTTCAGTTCTGTGCGCGACTTATTGTTTTTGTGAAATTCTGGAAATGAAAGCGGTATGTCGCTTACCTACTTTGAATTCCTCCAGGAGTTGCCATACGTTTCCCCCTTCCAAACGGGAATATGCCACTTAAACTAAAGGCCGTGCCAGGTACGGCGTCAGATGTCTACCAGAACATTCTTCGATTTGCTGCAGAATACGTAAGTAATTGATTATTTCTTACAATTGCTTGCAAATATTCACAAACTGACCTCCAGAGCAAAGTTAAGTCTAAATGTCCAATTAGATTCACATTCGTATTTATTCAAAGGGAACCCTCCTGGGAACCATAGAATTGTGTCACCTTACCAGTAGATCTAGCAAATACTCAAACAAATCAGCAGATATGCCATCAGAAATGATCTAACGAGCAGGCTGGCCCCACAAGTATTAAACGTTAAGCTTGCGAACAGGCTGCAGGTAAGACGTCGAGAGCTCAGAAACCATGGCACCGAAGTTGTCACCAAAAATGGATTCATATCTCCATTTTATTCCCAGATTCTATCTGAAATTTGTTTTGTTGGTCGCGTTGGACATATGCACAACATTAGTTGGCTAGAAAGGTGGTAGACTGTTAGTCAATTGAAGGGTACACCAAAATCGTACCCGGCCTGACCATCAGGCCAGTTAGTGTCCTGATAGCTGAGCACGTTGCGGAAATGCATAATATTAAACCAACATTTTCCATCTACACGACATATGTATTGTAAATCAGATGTTAAACTTTGCTCAGGTTATAGACAACAGTGAGTGGGTCCACAAGTGGTTGCAAAACAGCTTGTTAGACTAATTTCGCCATTCGTGTCACTGTGCACCGGTCAGTTCCCTGAAATCGTTTGCACTGGCGTGTTTCCACAGTGTTCCGGCTCTGCGTAGACTCCCATAAACCTGGAGTTGCATAACTGGACTAATGTCTTGGGGAAATCATGTAGATAATTTGGGTGCCAACGAGAGGGGTGGGGTCGTAAACGCTTCTCAACAAGGCAGTTCTTCGTGCTTCCGGCGGAAAAGTAGCATGAATTCGGTTGGCGCGTATGGTACCAGCCGTGTTTTGCGGTTGATTACATTAGCGTTTAATGCCAGTTGGAAAGCT